TGTATCGTCGATGTCTTTACTCTGCCGTCACAGAAACCGTAACTAATTGTATCGTCGATGTCTTTACTCTGCCGTCACAGAAACCGTAACTAATTGTATCGTCGATGTCTTTACTCTGCCGTCACAGAAACCGTAACTAATTGTATCGTCGATGTCTTTACTCTGCCGTCACAGAAACCGTAACTAATTGTATCGTCGATGTCTTTACTCTGCCGTCACAGAAACCGTAACTAATTGTATCGTCGATGTCTTTACTCTGCCGTCACAGAAACCGTAACTAATTGTATCGTCGATGTCTTTACTCTGCCGTCACAGAAACCGTAACTAATTGTATCGTCGATGTCTTTACTCTGCCGTCACAGAAACCGTAACTAATTGTATCGTCGATGTCTTTACTCTGCCGTCACAGAAACCGTAACTAATTGTATCGTCGATGTCTTTACTCTGCCGTCACAGAAACCGTAACTAATTGTATCGTCGATGTCTTTACTCTGCCGTCACAGAAACCGTAACTAATTGTATCGTCGATGTCTTTACTCTGCCGTCACAGAAACCGTAACTAATTGTATCGTCGATGTCTTTACTCTGCCGTCACAGAAACCGTAACTAATTGTATCGTCGATGTCTTTACTCTGCCGTCACAGAAACCGTAACTAATTGTATCGTCGATGTCTTTACTCTGCCGTCACAGAAACCGTAACTAATTGTATCGTCGATGTCTTTACTCTGCCGTCACAGAAACCGTAACTAATTGTATCGTCGATGTCTTTACTCTGCCGTCACAGAAACCGTAACTAANCATCACAGAACAACTTATAACATCATCATCACAGAACAACTTATAACATCATCATCACAGAACAACTTATAACAACACCATAACAGAACAACTTATAACATCATCATCACAGAACAACTTATAACAACACCATCACAGAACAACTTAAAACAACATCATCACAGAATAACTAAAAACAACATCATCACAGAACAACTTAAAACAATATCATCACAGAACAACTAAAAAACAACATCATCACAGAACAACTTATAACAACATCAGCACAGAATAACTTATAACATCATCATCACAGAACAACTTATAACAACACTATCACAGAACAACTTAAAACAACATCATCACAGAACATCTTATAACAACATCATCACAGAACAACTTATAACAACATCATCTTGAAAAATGCCTACATTGCCTTAAAATAAAACCCATCACGATAGTGTTTTAATAAGTATTGAGAAACTGACTATACGTGATGAGCTAGTTAGTATAAACATTGCTTGTACCCTTATTTATAACAAGAGGCCCAATTGGCCTGCATCGCTCACCTGGTATTAACCTCACAATTGTTACCTTAAAAAAAGACTAAAATAAAGCTACAGGAAAAATATCAGTCACGAAGTCATTCAAAACAAGGACATTAAGTTGAACAGAGTTTAAAGCCTTCCATCCCAGCATGCTTCTCGACAAATATCATTACCCTGGACCTTTTCAGTTTTGGTTATTTAGAATAATTTAATATGAGGTTTTAAACATATCTGACCCCTGTGACCTTGAAAATGGGCGAAGATCATTTGTTTGAACAAACTTGGTAGCCCTACATCCCAGCATGCTATTGGCCAAATATCAACATCCTAGGCCTTTTGGTTATTGAGAAGAAGTTTAAAGGTTTTTAAAACATTTGACCCCTGTGACCTTGAATATACATCAAAGTCATATATTTGAACAAACTCGGTAGCCCTTCATCCCAGCATGCTATTGACAAAATATCAACATCCTAGGTCTTTTGGTTATTGAGAAGAAGTTGTTAAAAGGTTTAAAACATATTTGACCCCTGTGACCTTGAATATACATCAAAGTCATATATTTGAACAAACTTATTAGCCCTTCATCCCAGTATGGTATTGGCCAAATATCATTATCCTGTGCCTTTTGGTTATTAAGAAGAAGGTGTTTAAAGTAAAATATTGACGCCGGACGACGGACGGACGGACTGACCGAATGAAATCAAATATATAGTCCCTTACGATAGGTCAGGATCTTCCTTTCTGATACTATTTGATTTCAATTTCATTATAACTGTTACAACCAAGTTTGCTTTCTTGTTAAAAATGTACAAGATATAGTCAGAAGTGTTATTTCCCTATATAAACCAAGGTGAACAGATGACCAAAGGGTAACAAAACTAACAATTTATATAATGTACCTAAGAGCATTTCCATCTGAAAAAAAGAAATTTGAATCTTGTACATCTGAGTGCAGAGATTTTCTAACTATCAGCCATTTTCCCCTTTTTGGATTCACCCAACCAGCTGCCCCTCGGCACGGACGGATCTTATTTTTCATACCGTCTAATTGCCATCTCATCGCAATTATTCCTACCAAGTTTGAATAATTACTTATTCAGAGATCAGACAAAATATACCAAAAGTGTTATTCACTTATATAAACTATAGTAAACTTTACCCTCTCCCCAAGGGAGAGCAGATGACCTTGGGGATATTGAAATTTACAATTTAGATAATGCACCTAAGGACCTTTCTATCCATGAAGAGTATTTGTTTGTAAAACATCTGAGTCTGACTTTTTACCGTTTTCCCCATTTGGACCCCACCCCTCCAGCCCCTGGGGATGGGGCAGGATCTTTTTTGTCATACCATCTAATTGCCATCTGGCATCCATGGCTAAAGCCCTGACGGAATTTCCATCCATGCACAGAATTTGATTGTACTAAATCTGAGTCTAAAGAAGAAGACGTTTGAAATATTGGTAGATTTTCCCTTTTGGGCCCCGCCCTGACCACTGGGGTTGGGGAAGGAATCCCTATTTTACAATTTGATACCATCTTCCTCCAAGGATGATTCTCACTGAGTAAGAATAATTTCCTACTGAAAATTATCAAAAGCGATCAGAATAGGTCACTTGAGCAAAGCTCAGGTGACCAAAAAAACTTAGAAAGGTCGATATTGTTCTATTTGATATAGAAAGGAAGAGGAGAACATAGAGCGAGGAAGATGTATGAGACATAGGGACAGACAGAGAAGGGAATTAAATCTGGCACTTTGCACATTTTGCTGTCGTCGGACATATGTTTAACATCACAGGTGTCAACGAGTAATATTATTTTGTTATTTATTTATTTTTTAATTATTTTCTTTGTTTTTTATTTCACCTTTTCAGAAGAGAAAGGTTTCGAACCGGTAAGATCGTTCCTTGATAAAATCAAACAAACAGGATCCAAAGGTTAAAAGTTGTGGTATGCATTCTTGACATTGTAGCATTTCAGTGACGATTATGATCACTTCCTGTAGGGCAGCCACACACCAGTCGGTGACGTCCATTGTAGCGATGTATAAGTGTTGTGATCCAGGGTGCGGGTCTGGTTGTCGGGTATCCCCTCCCATCCCATATGTCAATTCATATATATATATATAATCATTCATTTTTTTTACGATTGTATCAATCTCATTCGTGACTTGAGATACACGCAAAGTGGAGTTGAAGCTATTTTAATAATATGTGTGTTTCGCCAGGGTATATTATCGAAAGTATGAATAATGTAGACGCCCCCTCTGTGGTAAAAGCTGGCTGTTAACAGGTGTGTATTGTACGTGACTCGGCCACACACTGAGTGTTCTGAGTCTTACAATTCAACGTCCCCTAAAACTGAACACCTACCAGTCGGTAACGAAAAAAAGATAGAAGTCCAAAACTGCGTAAAGAGACTTATTTTTTGTTTCTTTAATATTCCCGAAAACTGTAGACATGTTGGGTTTTCTATTTGAACTGTTGAGTAGATATTTTTTTTCTAATTTGTTTTGAATTTCCGCGAAAGTCTTTCCGATTCCCATATGATACGCATGGTTGCTCATCAGTTTATGTCCTGCACACAGTTTGTTTGTCCCGATATTTGCCGCCCTTTATATTACAAAGGATCATTGATATACCTAATATTGACGAGTTGTTAGAACGAACGGAACTGTTCCGATAGTAGTGGCTTTCGTGATCGTATGATATCGATACTCCAAAGGTGTTTTTAATAGATTCTTAAAAAAATAGACTTCTGCTGATATTTTTCTAACTATAACAGGACGTTTAGTGTGTGCAGTCACGAACTTAAGATGTTTAACTAAATACCAACTCGCCAAAATAATTTAAAACATCAACAGCTTTTAAGTCCAAACACGTTTAGTAAACACCTGCTTTCAAATAAAACACTCAATATTTTTTGCTAATCAATACTCAATAATATCTATATATTTTTTTTACGCAAAAGAAAATAGATTGTCAGAAAATTAATTTAAAGAAATTTCTAATCATAAGCTATACAACTGCTTATTAAATATAATATACAGTAAACAATAGCTATATTCTTCTCCTACCCACAGTGATTTATAACATACAGTAAACAATATTGGTGTATCTGACACAAGTAAATTGATATCCAAACCCTTATAGAATCAAATTGAAAGGCAATACTAAGTATAAGATGCAACGCATACATGTAAAGATTGTCGGCGAACTTTCATAACCTGATAATATAAAACAAAAATCAACAAAGATGTCCGTGAAACTCTTAATGATATAAAACATAAAAAAGCGACAGATTTGATAAAGATTGTTTGTCACGTTACTCACAGTCAGTCATATTTCTGTTCTTAGAAATATGATTTTTTACAACAAATTAATAAATAAACAAATACTCTTTATTTAATGTTGTGTACATTGTCAACAACACACATAAGCTCTGTATAGCTTTTTATATTACGACGCTGCTAAGGAAACAAAAGCGTTTCTTAAAAATTTAGTTTTTTACAACAAGAGCCGATAAATTCACAAAGTGATCTCAAACCTTTTCAGAAAAATAAAGAAAGTTGCTTGAAATAAAACTTAAGCATTCAAACCTAGAGAGACATGGACAACAATTACATGTAATCATTGAATGCGAGTAAAAGGCAAAGGGGGTACACTCAAAACTCACCTGCTGGCAGGGAGAGGTTACTTTGCACCATCTTGGGAGAGTTGATGAACGCCGTAGACAGTAGGTGTTGTCCGAGTGTATGGCACTTCGTTATCGATCCTGCGTTATCACTCCCACCTGCCAACAAATGAGAATAATATGTAAATTAGCTCCAACTTCCTCTTACGTGTACAGTGGTGTGAGGGCAGCTACTGCGCGTTACTAACGCTACCCGTCACGCGGGAAAACCTTCAACAAGACAGCGCATATACATATCAACTGTAATGAATCAACCCTTAATATTTAACCGCTTTTGACATTGGTGACTAAATACTAAATAAACTGATAATTAGTACAGGTGGACGTATCACTGCGTAATAGAGTGACCGTTACCGTATTAGACCAACTGTACCGTTACTGTATCATATAATGATGGACCAACTGTACCGTTACCGTATCATTATTAGTTATCTCTGGGTTAGGAGGGGTTTACGGGCTCATAGACCCCGTCTGGTTTTTATAGACCCGGAGCCTAGTTGGTCTATCACTATATGATACGGCAACGGTACAGTTGTGATAGGGTGACCGGGGCAGGTTGAAGTATCCCTTTATGATATGGTGACCGGGGCAGGTTGTAGTATCATTATATGATACGGTAACGGTACAGTTGGTCTATAAATATATGATACGGTAACGGTACAGTTGGTCTATCAATATATAATAATATGACCGGTACAGGTGGTAGTATCACTTATCACTATATGATAGGGTGACCGGTACACTTTTCATATCACAATATATTTTATGGATATGCATTTCGTAATGCCACTACAAAGGTACATTGTACACGTAGCCGCTACCAGGACGACATTGTGATAAAACTAATCTCGAACCCAAAAACAGAAAAATCAAGATATGGGTGAATTATGATGTTTGTGTGAAGAGCAGATATTGGATTTAACTAAACGCACAGGTAGGGCGGATGTTAGGTAGCGGAGTTTAATAATGTTAGGAGTAGTTTTGATATACAGAGACAGAAATAGTATCTCTTCACTCCAAGTATAAGAACTTATTTAATAGGAAGCACGACTCCATAGATGTAGTTTATCATACCATCACACAAGTGAAACACATATGAGCAATACCGTTATTATTAAGTATTTAGTTTAGGATTCTTATAACATAATCCTGTATCTATCTTACCATATTGACACCTCCAACATTTTATATTGATCTCCAGTTTAGTCATTATTTCTTTAATCTGTAGCGACAAATGTCCGAAATACGGAAGTAACACAGAAAGTCACGTCATAATGATATATAATACTAGTTAATTAAACAAGTAACGGCCATGAACTGTCACATGTTACAGCCTCAGCCAGGGCGGATGTCCCTTCAGCTTAGCTGCTGCGCGCTGTAATAGGAACGTAGAATTCGTGTTCTAATCCTTTCGAAAGCAATTCGGAAAATAGACTTCGGCTAACAAAAAGGAAGCTAACTGACCACAAAAAAAAACATGATGTAGTACATGTAATAACAATTAAACATACAGGTACTCATTACATAATAATACATGTTGTAGTAAAACGCTCCTGCATCTCTCTAATAATGACGCATCTGAGAAGGGCATAGGAAAGAACATCCCTGATCGGGAACGTCCGAAAGAGTGAGCAAGATGAAGTGGCCAGTGGGAATAACACTATTAAAATTTAACTAATGACGCATGTGTGACAACGCTGACCTACAACTTGATTTTAACACTGTTTGAGGAAATGCGATCTCTAATGATCATGGACTTGCGATTCTGATGACGATCGTCATTCATGTGCAGAGCTCAATTTTCTTAATTCGTCTGCTTCATTTACAAGTTTACAAAAAGAAAACGTCCACCAAGGTAACATTGGGATGTATTCCGAGAAATTTGTTTGTCGGGTTTTAACAGCTTTGTGAAGTCAAACAGAAAATATTCAATTATAAAGGTGGCAACTGCATAATTATGCATAAGATGTAATTTGATATTTCCCGTACAGACCACCAGACTTCTAAGCAATCGTGACAAGAACAGAGAAGTCGATACAGGTGGCCGAGTACTTCAAATCCTTTGATGTTATTTACCCTTTTACCTGGAAGCTTCTATCCCCTTTTCTAGAAATATCCCCTAGAATATGGTTGACAACCATCCTACCTAATAAGGCTCAATAAACGATAGACCGCCAATAGTGCCATGAAACTATCGCGGTATACTGCATTTACTGCCATACAGCTCTTGCGTTATATCGCCTCTATTAGTAAACAGCTCTTACGTTATACCGCCTCTAGTGGTAAACAACTCGAACGATATACCGCCGTTAGTGGTCAAAAAAACTATTGCGATATACCGCCTTTACTGCCATACAGCTCTTGCGTTATACAGCCTCTAGTTGGAAGCAACTCTTACGTTATACCACCTTTACTGCCATACAAGTCTTAAGTTATGCCGCCTCTAGTGGTAAACAACTCGTACGATATACCAGCTTTACTGCTATACAACTCTTACGATATACCACCTCTAGTGGCAAACAACTCTCACGTTATACCGCCTCTACTGCTATACAATTCTCACGTTATACCACCTCTACTGTCATACAACTCTTACGATATACCTCATATACTGCTATGCAACTCATACGTTATACTGCCTCTGCTGTCATACAACTGTTACGATACACCGCCTCTGCTGTCATACAACTCTTACGATACACCGCCTCTGCTGTCATACAACTGTTACGATACACCGCCTCTGCTGTCATACAACTCTTACGATACACCGCCTCTACTGTCATACAACTCTTACGTTTTACAATACAATTTTTCTTTTTTGTTAAAAATTGATTATTGACAGGTTATAAAGAAGTCTAGACTTAATATAAACACTGTTATATAGGTACATAGTAAAACGCATTTTCTGTGCCTTGTATAGATACGTACAGAAACGTGTCCTCTGTGTGCGTCCTGATAAACAGTGCAAAAAGGAGCTTGATGTTGATTTGTTCGTTTGCAGTTACTCAGGTGACTGTAATACAATCTTCTAAAATAAAATAAACTTTGTCTGTCACGTTGTGGGCATCTTTATTCACATTTTTCCTACGTTAATTTAACACTGTTTGAGGAACCGCGATCTCTAATGATCATGGATTTGCGATTCTGATGACGATCGTAATTCATGTCAGAGCTCAATTTTCTTAATTCGTCTGCTTCATTTACAAGTTTACAAAAAGGAAACGTCCACCAAGGTAACATTGGGATGTATTCCGAGAAATTTGTTTGTCGGGTTTTAACAGCTTTGTGAAGTCAACCAGAAAATATTCAATTATAAAGGTGGCAACTGCATATTTATGCATAAGATGTAATTTGATATTTCCCGTACAGACCACCAGACTTCTAAGCAATCGTGACAAGAACAGGGAAGTCGATACAGGTGGCCGAGTACTTCAAATCCTTTGATGTTATTTACTCTTTTACCTGGAAGCTTCTATCCCCTTTTCTAGAAATATCCCCTAGAATATGGTTGACAACGCTCAATAAACGATAGACCGCCAATAGTGCCATGAAACTATCGCGGTATAGTGCATTTACTGCCATACAGCTCTTGCGTTATATCGCCTCTATTAGTAAACAGCTCTTACGTTATACCGCCTCTAGTGGTAAACAACTCGAACGATATACCGCCGTTAGTGGTCAAAAAAACTATTGCGATATACCGCCTTTACTGCCATACAGCTCTTGCGTTATACAGCCTCTAGTTGGAAGCAACTCTTACGTTAGACCACCTTTACTGCCATACAAGTCTTAAGTTATGCCGCCTCTAGTGGTAAACAACTCGTACGATATACCAGCTTTACTGCTATACAACTCTTACGATATACCGCCTCTAGTGGTAAACAACTCTCACGTTATACCGCCTCTACTGCTATAAAATTCTCACGTTATACCACCTCTACTGTCATACAACTCTTACGATATATCTCATATACTGCTATGCAACTGTTACGTTATACTGCCTCTACTGTCATACAACTGTTACGATACACCGCCTCTACTGTCATACAACTGTTACGATACACCGCCTCTGCTGTCATACAACTGTTACGATACACCGCCTCTACTGTCATACAACTGTTACGATACACCGCCTCTGCTGTCATACAACTGTTACGATACACCGCCTCTGCTGTCATACAACTGTTACGATACACCGCCTCTGCTGTCATACAACTGTTACGATACACCGCCTCTGCTGTCATACAACTGTTACGATACACCGCCTCTGCTGTCATACAACTCTTACGATACACCGCCTCTGCTGTCATACAACTGTTACGATACACCGCCTCTGCTGTCATACAACTCTTACGATACACCGCCTCTACTGTCATACAACTCTTACGTTTTACAATACAATTTTTCTTTTTTGTTAAAAATTGATTATTGACAGGTTATAAAGAAGTCTAGACTTAATATAAACACTGTTATATAGGTACATAGTAAAACGCATTTTCTGTGCCTTGTATAGATACGTACAGAAACGTGTCCTCTGTGTGCGTCCTGATAAACAGTGCAAAAAGGAGCTTGATGTTGATTTGTTCGTTTGCAGTTACTCAGGTGACTGTAATACAATCTTCTAAAATAAAATAAACTTTGTCTGTCACGTTGTGGGCATCTTTATTCACATTTTTCCTACGTTAATTTAACAATATTAATCGCTAATATTACCATAACTCAGATTATCATCCATGTACACGTACATACATGAACAGCTGTCCTCTCCTGTAAAATACCCACAGTTATGTAATTGTAAAGGTGCCTAAATCAAATTAAAGTCGTTTTTATGAAATCCTTTAAATGGGAACTCGACCCGAAATCTCCGACAAAGTTTTTTATTTTAGAAGATTGTACTACAGTTACCTGAGTAACTTCTTATTAAAACTGCAAACAAACAAATCAACAACACGCTCCTTTCTGCACTTAATCAGGATGCACACAGAGGAAACGTGTCTGTACTTATCTATACAAGGCTCAGAAAAGGCGTTTTAGAGCTGCACATTTGTGCTTTGTGTGTAAGTAACAACATGTACATACGTCAGGGCTAATTCAAACCG